GCACCAAGATAAACATAAGTTGAATTTAATTTCAATTGTATGGGGTTTCACGTCCGCGAAACAGCCTAAGGGCATACAAAGACGGATGTCAAGGCGGTTTGTTCTCCTTTCTCCCCCTTTTTATAATCAAAGAATTTATATAAACACTGGAAAACAATAGATGTGTTATTATAGTCTGTTCTGGTATAGTACAGGTATATTATTTACATGTATTTACCTAGTCACCAATAGGAAATACTGTGTTAGTTATAGGAATATTTAACAATTATATTTCCTGATTTTCGTAATATTTACTGGAATTATAAGTCAATATATACAAGATTCCAGTTATTACTTAATACCTGCTTTTATTAATTTCATATTAAATCAATTGCATACATTTTTACTACACATTTATATGTATGTTATATATATATTTCATAAAATAGATCTAAAAGCAAGCAATTTATAACAAATATAATCAGTACAGACAGAGATCATGTATATGCAAAAACAGATGCAAAGCTGAGAATGAAAATAAATAAAACAAAATTGATTACACGTACACACGGAATACTTATAATAACTTGCAGCACTGGTTGTGGGGAAACCTTCAATGTTGCACATCTTGGTTTAGTGGCGGAGTTTGCCAACCCCCACTAAGGCTTATGGCCACCAACTAATGTATTTGTTTTACTTTATATATGATAATGCTATGCTGTACTTGTCAGATGTTTGACATCGTCATGTTTGGGTATTATTTGTTTGAAAATATATTAAAAGTCACCAAACGGTGACCTTTTTCACTCATATGTTCTTTTGGTTGTTTATGTGACAGGACGGAAAGTGCATAAAAGGCAGCTAAGCACTTAGCTTAATTTATGCATCTGGAGTCGTGCACATAACCACTTTATTTGAATAAATAAAATTAAGAAAAATAGGTTTCGAAGAGTTGTCTCCCATGCATAAAAGCTAGGGATAGGAAGAGTTACTCGCCTTGAATTAAGAGCCGAGGATTGTGGGTAATCTGCATTGAGCGCGCCATTGAGAAAATTTGTAAACAGCGCGCCATTGAGAAAATTTATAAACAAAAAGGTCACACAGTGCAAAACTATTGTGTTAACCATTCTAAGTACAGACCTAGTCTGGTATACCTTCCGAAGTTTTTAACCCACCCACTTCCTCCCCTCTTCTTCTTTGTGAGAAATGCATTTTAACACAATATCTAAGTGGCGGAGTTTGCCAACCCCCACTAAGGCTTATGGCCACCAACTAATGTATTTGTTTTACTTTATATATGATAATGCTATGCTGTACTTGTCAGATGTTTGACATCGTCATGTTTGGGTATTATTTGTTTGAAAATATATTAAAAGTCACCAAACGGTGACCTTTTTCACTCATATGTTCTTTTGGTTGTTAATGTGACAGGACGGAAAGTGCATAAAATTGATTACACGTACACACGGAATACTTATAATAAATTGCAGCACTGGTTGATCAAACCAATCATATTCATAAATTGCACACATGCACAAAGATACATGATATAAAACTGATATAATAGCACTAACTTACTAAAGGTGGAATATTGGAAAGTCCATAAAAAGCACAGATATTGAAAAGTCCATGAATTTAAGAAATCCTAGCAGCGCACCAAATAAAAATTACATAACAAGCACATTTATAACAATTTCACTCTAAATGCAAAAGATGGGATGCTGTGTCGGCATACTGGATTACATCTGTTGAATCATTCTCCAAGCGTTCCTTTAGTTGGTTAAGGCGGCTATCGATGTAACGGTAGTGTTTTGCTCTTGGTCTGAGTTGTCCTCCTGCTGCGTGTTGGATGCGCGTTATCTTGTTGATGGCTTGTATTTCATGGAAGACGCGGATGATGCTGTAGATGTTGGGGTGGGCATGTTCCACTTTCTTCTTCAGTTTGCTGTGCCATCCCTCTATGTGGTTGGTTGTTCTGGTCCCTCGGTCTCAAAGTGGTTCCAGAGTTGTCGATGGTCCCGGGTAGCTGAGGAGTCTGAGTACGTAGAGCGTTATACAGTGACTTCTTAGTGGACTGGAAGGTGTGTAGTTGTCTGACTGTGTTCTCTGCGTCGTCGATCCGATCATCGGATCGAAGCTTGGTTATACCTCCTCGTCGTAGAGTCTGGTAATTGGTTTTTACTTCCTTCACGCAGCGGGTACGAATGGTCTCTCTAATCTCCTGGGCGACGATTTTAGTATGGTCCTGTGGGTGGTTGAGGGGATGGCGGCCGTTTCCGGTAGAGATGTTGTTTCGGGTACTAACTTAAGGGTAGCTGGACAGTTGGGGATGGTACATCTCCAATATACACGCTCACCTCTGTTGTTCTTAACACAGTAAATGTATACGGTGTAGGCGATGTTCTGTCTTCCAAACTTGTTGCGAAGAAACGTCACTTAAATTTGTGCATTTGTCATGTTGGTGGTTGATGTGAGACTTACAAAACATACAGCTTGGACAATCTCACTGGTTTAATCACCACGGCATCAATTAAGTGACGGATATATAGGTTATGAAATGTATTCACTGTTTATTACCGGGGAGATAATGCATTTCTATTGATAGTGATTAATCGCTTTGCAAACGGTCATCTTATATGTCCCTTTTTAAGTTCATATACTTGTATAATTTATTGTTGACTCAATGCGCACCAGTAAAGTGGTCAGTTGATGGACCCAAACCATCAGGTGTTAAGATTCATTAATATCAACTAGAAATATCAGTGGACCCAAGCCATATGGGGTTATCAAATAGAAACATAGCTAATGATTATCTTTTAGGGGAAAATAATCTAATGAGTGATACTAAGTGATAATAATTACATTGAAGACGCATTTATTGGTAAAATGGATTCTCTGAAAATAATGCTCCAATATGAATTTGCTTCACCCTAAATTAAATAAAGATAAATTTAAATTTAAATTAATCAAAGCATTATCATCTATATATATACTATTAAGTATTTACAATATTTGTTTTTGTTTCGTATGATTTGTATAGATGAAAATGGTATAAAATGGCTAAAAATTATGAAAATTGACTATATCAAAGCTACAAGTATATGACAGTACTGTGAACATGATACAGGTAATGTGGGAGAACACGGGTAAAAATAAGGTAAAATTTATATGAAACAGACTAAAACTTCTATCACAACATTACTGCCTCTATGGTTTTTTTTTTCAATTGGGAGAAAGGATAACACACCGTCAAGGCATACACGACCGTACGAAAATAGTATCTATGACAAAAAAGGAAGTATTATGAATACCAATATTTCAAAAGCAGCCGTTTGGTTTCTTTGACCTCTCATTTTGTTTAACGTCCTATTAACAGCGAAGGTCATTTGTGGACGTGCAGATGTGTGTTGTGCATGCGTGCATGTCTGTATGTGTGCCATAGACGGATCATGTTTATGTTGGTGAACTTGCCTCCTTGTGATAGCGCGGATCTGATGCCGACTTTATAGTGCTATCTCACTGAAACACAATGAAGAAGGCACACAGAAAAGCATCCCACCCCGTCATATTATACTGACAAGGGGTTAACCAGTCGTTGCCATTCCCTTTAAGGGGCTGGTCGGGGAAAAAATGTCATATTTGCTAAAATGGCATCCACAAGTTTAAAATACCTTCTTATGAAATATACCGATTCAAATTTTGCTGAAATTCACTCCCTAAGAGTAAAAATTATAATTATATAAAGAAATCCTAAATCGTTACCTGGCAGTCTAAACCTCTCAATTGACCCAGATCAGTGATGTAATTTTACCGCATGCGAGTCATCAACAAGGCCAAATGTAAACATCGCGGCGAAAGAAAAAGATGCATGCAAAAGTCATGACAGGCACGAGGTATCAATACCGTTATATATAACAACAACTTATAGGTAGGAATACTACACTTGAATCATACATGACCTTTGAAAAGAATTATTTACGTATAGTATATTGCTGTCTTGTCCGCTAGTTGAGTCCGACATGGCTGATAGAAGGCGTGCTATTATTGTTATCTTCACTGCCTCACTTTCGAAACAACCACATAACATATATAAATAGATCTGCGCAAAATTTACGCGGGGCTTCCCTGAAATTTCCGTGGTCAAAACTGGACATTGCAAGTAGAACTCGACCATCAAACTGCCGTGGTATATCTTTTGGAAGGCCAGAGAACGCATTTAACCCTTTAAATGCTGAACCATAAGCAGAAAAAAGCAACAACCATTTTGAAGGACTGTGGTATGTTCCGGCCTGAGGACAGAACACATTGCCTTCTTCACCTGGACGAACACTCAATATTAAAGCCAGAAGTGAGGCTTTGCAAAGTAAGGTGCTAGTAAATAAAAGGTAAATAAACTTTGTGGATCACAATAAAAGGACTCAGCTTTCCAACATTAATACGTTAGAACGTTATTAGAAATGCGAACTTAATTGAAATTGATCAAAATCATCCTGCTTTATCAATCTGCAAACTTGCAAATTTCCAAGAGAATGACTGGTATGTTTTTTTGCAGGATTAGTCATGGTTACAGAAGTATAGCCATGCTAATATACTTGTAAGACACCGTGAAACATAGTTATTTTTACCGTTTGCTTATATAATTGTACGAAATTGTGATACAAGATCTTATATCGTTTGCTAAGATACTTTTAAGACACTATGAAACATATTTATTTCTTACTGTTTGCTAATATACGTGTAAGACATCGTGATGCATAGTTTTAACACCGCGGGATTTGATGTAAAGGATAACCAGCATGCTGTGAAGTATCCAGGCGAAAGACCGGCGTAATTTTAGGATTAGTCATCAACTTAACAATATAACGCTTCAATGTCGTTTGCTTATACACACGTCAGTCATCGAGAGCTTTGATAAATCACCAAGGGATTTAGTGCAGGATGTTAGTTTTTGCATTTATCTCAGGTCTGGTAAGTTTCCTGTCCGGTAATAAGATATTATTGTAAAAAAAGAATCATCTTACCTGACGTAGAGTCGTACCCCCACCATTGTTCCCATCGGTCGTCTATATCTGAAACACAACAATATATAGATAAGGGATCAAACAGTTCAAAACATTTCATTGTCGAATTTGACCTCGAAAAATGGCATCGTTACATCGCACAGATGAGTACTAAGGTATTGTGCACGTTGGTACACAGTGTAGTGTGTTTGTGAATTATTTAAGATTGTTGTCATGTAGTCCTCATAATACAAGGCTGCAAATCGTTAACCGTTGTTGAAATCCAATGCTGTTTCTTCAGTTGTCTTTTTCAATTGAAACAACCTTGGAGCACGCTATATTATAATTGCAAGTGCAATATTATTGACCTTCAGTAATTCCCGCTGGTTACATATAGTTTGTAGATGAACAATCCCTTTACAGAAAACACGTTTCCATACACATTTATATTCCTGTGTATTATTTTGTTATTCACCATAATAACTTACTATGTACACGCTACGTGTGTCAGCATTGCTTGGTGAACAATTTGATAAATCAAACGGATCTTGGGAATATGTCCCCCGAAATGAATGAAATTATGTTATACAATGATATTAAGGACACCACGATACGATATGTTGTTTGTTAACAATACTCATTTAAAAACTGTGTCTGATGTGATTCTTTGTTTTGTATTGTTTTGGAGGCATGGTAGTATTGTGGTAGGACGCCGGACTCGTGACCGAAGGGTTGCGGGTTCGAGTTACGTCATTGTACTGTGTTGTGTCTTTATACAAGATACAGTCTTTTCAGCTATAAATAAGTACGTGGTTGGGTAGTGCTGGAATTGTTAAATGCTTGTTTTGAGCCCCAGTTTGACGGTTTGAATCATTTAGAGCCAAATAACACTGTTTACGAGCACGCAGTGGGATACAACAGGTTTCCTGTTTCTTCGAACCCGAACAAATCATATTTCCAAAATCCATGCATATTGTTTTCAATAGGTTATTCGAATATTCGGCACGTTTGTATATAGATATCCATGAATTTTCACTAATGTAACGCATCTATTTAAGCGGTATGGTTTTATTTATTTTAGCGTTCTATTCCCAGCCAATGTCACCTAAGGACGTGTCCTATCAATGACACGAGTACTGGGGGCGTTATGTTGGTGTACTTGCCTCCTTGCATGTGTATTATGCTGACATCAGAGGGCTAACATTCTGAATTGCTATGCCAAATGCACCCTGCATAGTATTCTGCCCGGTCACATTGAACAGAAACCATGTTTCGATATCCCGGACTGTTGAACGTGTAGCAGGGAATAGCAACTTCATCAGTTTAATAACTGTTGTCTGATCTGGCCTGGGGGCAGAAGCAGTCCAATCGCCTGTCTTACTTCAACGTTCAACATTAAGGCCAAAAGATGAAAGCAATATATGTTCTTGTATCTGTCGATCAAAATGATCATATTGCATAAATACTCCTTTCCTTTGCCTTATTAATTCATTTTTTGTGATAGAATGAAAAAAAATTAAAAAAAATGCAAATGTCTTTAATAGTTTCAACTGGGAATAGTGTAGCTTCGAGTGAATGTAGATTAAAAACGAAATGCTACTTCATTGTCTTTAGCTTATCAAAGACAATGTAACAAGGTTACATAAACAAATACTACAAAAAGGTGTCTTTGAAGTTAAGAAGACAACAATCAGAAAACCATGCCGTTAACGGGTAAACTCTTAAATTTCAGACATAGAGTAAGATATGTTCGGTTAATGAGTATTGTCTTTTTCTATCTTTGAGCATACTAGATCGTTGTCTTCAGTATGTAGCCCTCAGACATTGCTACTGCACACATCACATCGATATACTTTGTCTAATAATATGAGTTGACAAACACATTCTGACTGGTACACAACTACGAAGCTTGGAGACACCGTAGACACATCAAACAAACGTAATCTGTGAAATACAAAACATCTTAGATAGCCCAACAAGAGAACTCTTCAACGTGGTCCTCCATTTGTCAGACGGCTCGAATTGCAGACATGTTTATTTAGGTATGGCGTGCATTTAAAGGTGTTTCGGCACGTCATGTCCACGCCTTTGGTGTCACACCAGAATGACTTGATTGGTTTTCTGAGACACGTACATTGGACATGTCCCAAGGGAGTCCGTGACAAACAGTCATGTACCCGTGATCTAACGAGAACTGGACACGATATGGTACGCACTGAATTGCAAATCGTCACCAAACTACCATTAAAGTACTACTAAAGAAATAAGTGAAGTAGCTTGGGGTGTACCGATAACACTAAGAAACGAAGACGTGTGCTTATCTTGTCTTCAAATATGCATTAGCAAGACCGACCACGCATACCAATTTACATAGAAAATATACAGAGACGGACTAGAAGTTTTCATTCAATATAGAAATTAAGTCCAATACAAAAATACTCACAATCAATGAACTATAGGAAAAAACATTACATACAAGGAAACATTTACACAAAGACCATGTGTACCAGAGGAGTACGCGTCTTTTACTGCTATGACAACGCTCGCCCGGTAGATTTTGCACAAACGAAACACATGTGCAGTTGAAAATCTCCTTTTGAGCAAGAAGTTATTATTAGTTGGTCATCATCTTCACAGGATTTCACAATTGCTGACGGAATAAATTAGAGAAAAGCTCTAGTTTTTCGTGGGTTGAATAAATTCGAAAATATGCTGAATATAGACAAAAAACGAAAAGTACACTTAATACTTATAACGTACCTATAGAGTTTTTGTAATTTCAAAATCTTGTTTTTTTCATACCTTACTATTCAATCTATTTGAAAGCCTTTTATTCTGTTATACAGTTTTGTAAGAGGTCAATACATACGCCCATACTTTAACCCACCATCAGGGATGACGGGAAACGCTAAGCAGCGATAAAACAAATTTAGAAACAGCGGATGACGGAATAAGTGCTATTGGCCTACACGTGTACTTTTGAAATGCCCTCTCCGTTCAAGGTACGCCACGGGGAGAAGTGACAATTGGTGACCGTCGTGATGTACGTGAAGGGACATAGGGCGACAATTTGACGTTAACGTTGATACATGAGACAACAGGGACGCGTGGCCATGGATATCAAAGCATGCTGTGCGAATGTGTGTAACTTGATGGCGGTTTATATTGACCAACAGTATTATCACCAGGAGGCACTGCCACTATCTTGAAAATGACCACTACATTTGTAACACGACGTAAAACTGCAAAATAAATAAAAAAATATTTACAGGCAATACCATAACCTCTCTAATTATAAGATTTTTTAAAATTTTAAGATGGAACTTTTCAGTTTCGGAAAACAATATGTTTTGAATACAACTATGATCGTGTATGTCAGCTATACGTTTCGATACCAAAGGAAAACACGAACAAAAGTCAAATCCTAGAATGCTATATCTGAAAAGTGTCAGGGAGGAATGGAAGCCTTAACTCGAGTTCGACATTGAACATCTTGAGCAGGTAAATTGTTATCGTTACATTCTTCACGGCCAATCAACACAGAAGAAGTCCAGGGTCAATAAATAGTCGAAAAACGTCAATAAATAAGAAAGAATAATGCTTAAATCCTGTGCAATTTCTATGTGTCGTAGAGAAATGACGTTATTATTTCTATACAATTTAAAGGCACTTGAATAACACTATAAATAACAGCTACCATCAACATATATAATAAGACTACCCATTATCCAAATGAATATGTAATTAACTATTCGATGTGAGGACGTGGCATTACTTGGAAGAAATATCAACTTTATTTATTTTACAACAATTATGAAACAAGTTATACTAATCACTCTTGTTTGCCCGGATATTAGCGCGCGTAGGGTTTTTCTGTGGAAGGACACCCGAAGTACCCGGAGAAAACCCACGTGGTCAGGTAGGTGACTCCATACCTTTTCACGTCTGATCGGGGAATCGCACCCCAGCCTACTTTGTGAAAGGTAAGTGCGCCGACCACAATTGCTCTGATTCGACATTAGACTAACAAGGAGGGTGTCAACGATGCAACAAAAGACGCTTCCCTTCCGGAACACCTTATTCGCCTTATATTTTTCCGAGGGTTTCCTTGTAAGTTTGTCATTTGTTCAATGTTTGCGCTAGAGATACCGATTTTGAGTTCGAAATATCAGTATTTTTTACTGTACGTAGGGGATCACGCAACGGTGATTAGTAAGTGTTGAATTATATCCCAAAAAGTGTCAGTCTTAAGATGTGATATATAAAAAACCTCTGCTTCGAAGTTTAACGATTCAAATATTTTCTTAATCAGCACTGTTTTTTTTGTGATAGGTTTTTGATTTGTCCAAGTCGGGGGACAGAACCCTTAACCTTCCTCGGCTGGACGAACGTTCAAGCCAAATACCAAAAACTATGTTTTTGAAAAAATAAGGCACGCAAAAACAAGAAAAGATTTCGGAAATAAGGAAACTGTACATTACCAAACAGTTCTAATGAACGTGCAGTTTTTCAAAAAGCATACTTTCTGATTGCAAACGGTTACAACGTTACTTTCCTTGTTAACAACAATACAATAGGTAACCGTAGGTATTTCTTTTCTTAATCTTTAACCTGCCGGGGTGTAGTGAAATTGTTTAAAAGGTGCGACTGTACGCTTAAGTTGTAATTTTTCTTCAAATAACATTTAATTATTATTTATTTGTTTGTTTGATGAAAGCTTTTTCTCCCTGGAGACAGCTTGTTTACCTGACGACAGTTTGTACAGATGGTTTGGTCAAGCAACGTCCAATTTAAGTACAAGTTTTGTTTTGCTTTTGTATTGTTTAACGACCCATCGACAATGTGAGTCATTTAGAGCCAACAATACTATAAAAAGAGCCATTCACGAAAATAAACACATCAAACCAAAACTTAATAGCTTGGAATATATAAAGGATTACAGAAATATAGAAATATCGAACAGATTGTCTGCACAATATATACTATTTTATTGTAAAGATCAATAGAGTTTAAATACTCATATATTGACTGCTTAGAAACTATATCGAATAAACTTTTCATAGAGGGTA